TCCTACCTTCCCCTCCCCCCCTACCCCCCACCCCCCACCCCCCACCCCCACCCCCACCCTCCTCTCTCTCTCTCTCTCTCTCTCTCTCTCTTCCCTCCACCCTTGTTCTCTCTCTTTCTCTGTCGCTTTTGTTCCTCCCCCCCACCCCTTCCTCTCACCTCTCTTATTCCGCTCTCTGCCGTTTTCTCATTACTTACACATTCTTATGATTGTACATTGCTGACGTTTAAAAAAAATAAAAATTGGTGCATAAGAACAAGGAGAAATAGGAGAAGGAAAAAAAAAGGGTAAAAAATAAAAAGGGAAAAAAGGAGTGGATTTTTTTTTTTTATAATGAGAAAATAACGTTAGATTAATTTGTTTTTCATTTATTCTTATCATTTCCCTTCTACCCTCACTCTCTCTACCCCTCCTCTGTTCACCTCAGTGTTCGCAAAATCGAACCGGAACGGTTAGAGAGACCTGGGGCCAGAAGCGGTTTGACTGGCCTAATCGGTAAACTGGCCGATTCAGTCATTCTAATCGGGCAAGTCCCGGGCGGCCAAAAAATTGTTGAAAAAAATAGAAAAGATGCAAAAAAATACCGGCCGATAACTAAAACCGTTCAAAACCGGAACCGCTTATTCTCCGCTCTCTCTCTCTTTCTCTTCTCCCTTTCTTTATAAGAGGCCCCACTTCTCGATCTAATCCTTTCTTACTTTTTCTCTCTCTCGTCCCCCTTTCTTTCTCTATCTCTTGCTTATCTCCCAATTTTTGTTTATGTTTCTTCTCCCTTTAATTCCTAGTTTTTAATTTTCACTTTGGTAAGTTTAGGCTTCCAAATATATCTCTATTATCTTGCTCAAATGCTAGGTTTTCCTCCTCATTTGTTCTCTCCTAGCTTTTCCTATTCTTTTATCTCTCGTACTCAGTTTTTCAAAAAGCGGACCACCCAGCGCCAGGGCGGCCACTGAGGCGGTTCTGGGGGCCTAGGCGTCCAAAAAAAGCAGATATCCTTGGGTGCCCTCCTAGGGCCTGCGCCCGCGTAGGGGCGGATCCCCTCGTTGAGGGTATTTTTGGGTCATTTTTTTTAATACTAAATGTGCAATATTGTGGGTTTTAGGTTCATTTGAAACCTAAAACCCATTAGAGCCTATTTTAGAGAGAGAAAAACCCAAATTTTTTTTTTCCTACTGGGTCGCTTAGGTTCTGGACGCCCGCTTAGGCGCTGGGCGACATGGCCTCTCCCCGACTGCCTAGGTCCCGCCTAGCGCTTTTTGAAACACTGCTCCTACTTCCCCTTCTTTCTGTCTCACATCAAAATGACAAGTTGATGTGGCTAAGGATGGATGATTTTCAAGACATGTCGGTCCCTTTCGTAAGCGGCTTGCTCTCTATCCACAGCTCGCCAATATTTCCCCCACACCTCGCCTAATAGCAGACCCTCAGTGCACCCTCCAACATAAGCCTACTCCATCTTAACCTCGCACTACAAAGTGTTTTTTCAGTTGCAAGTGTCTTTTCAGTTTCTTTAATAGTTTTTCTTTTGTTTTCTCTTAACTTCTTCTATTAAATTAGTCTTTACTGTGGTCTGAGCACCCAACTTGTGGGATGTCGTTTTTCTGCCATTGTAATTTTCATCAGATTTATAGAAGTAAACATTTCTCAAAAAAAAGAAGAAAAGATTAAAGGCCATTTTGATTCTAAGCCAGTATTCATAAAATGGAAAAATAGAGGACCATTTAAAAGAAAAAATCATGATAATGAAGATCTCAATCCTATAGTTCCAATAAAGGTTATGGGGAAGATAGGTAACCAACTTCTATCTCTCTCTCTCTCTCCCAAACCCAAAGCTTTCCTCCTTTGCAGAGGTTATCCCATGGGCAACCCATGAGGTTGTGATCTCTTGTCACAAGCCCCCCATTTCTCCCTTTCAATGCCCTAGATACCCTTTTTAGGTATTGGTGTAAATGCACACACAACGAGTAGAGCTGCCATGGCGACGAGTCAACTTGCTTGCACTTACGTTGCTCTCCTACTCCACGACGATGGACTTGGTATCACGCTCTATTAGAAGATGGACTCAAGGATAGAAGCCTAGTCTCCACCCCTTTACAAACATTACCAACAGTTCATCCACCCTCATGCAAAGCCTCCTTTTTCTTACTTCTCACCCAGGCTCCTCCCTCTTCTTCTTCCAACCATACACAACCCCCCTCTACCTTGAAAACCTATAGACAGTTAGCAGCCACCAAAAACAAGTCCTC